AAATGATAATCATATCATAACGTAATGCAATACGTATTTATACAAAGCGAACTAACCATGGTATAGTTTGCAATTAATCATAAACAATCATTATTGCTAATATCAATTTCAATCTTTCGTGAACGCATGACTTGATTATATTAGGATTGAGGGCGTCGGCTGATTATATTAGGAAATCGTAGCATTAACTAATTAACTAGTGGATAAATCTATATTGAATAAATGCATGCATGGAAATCATTTCTATATTTATGTACATATCAAACCGTGTAAGTATAAAAGGATATGTATCCGATGTAAATACGCTCCAATGTAATTCGCTTTTGTGTCCTTCTAATATTCATTAAGCGCCACAACGTCATCCAGTTCAATAACCACTGTTACGTAACGCTTCAAGTAACTGCCCTTCAAATGATCTCTTTTCCTATGGTCGATCCGCATCCACAGCTAAAGTTTCTTCTTATAATCGGCAGAGAAATAAACGAATTCACTGACCGTTATGAAATGAAAATGAATAAAAGGACTTACCCTACGAATAAACAGATGATATGCGATTATAACCGGATAGATTTGATTATGTTGGATGCATGATTTTTAACAAAAGCTCTGCATTAATCAAATGAACTAACCAGATTTTTGACTATTTTTAAATAGCATACACAAGCTAATCAAACTCATACACTTGCGCCAGCGTTACTAAGCAAACTGCTGCTTACAATGGATACTATCCTAAACAACGTGTGTGGCTGCTAAAGTTAACATATATAATTGCAGATTTAGCTGACTAATTAACTAGCATTAGCATAAGAACAACCAATGTAGAGATTACTGAAAAAAAAACAACAAGCCTATCTAGATGGTCGATTTGGCAAATGAATTGCATTTCAAAATAAAATTATGAGTCATCTTATGAGGTGCATACTGTCATGTTGTGGTTTATGGCTCCGGTTGAAACGCTATAAGTCGGACAATGCCATTCATTATGATGTGTTCGGAAAAAATTACAATTGCAATATTGCTTGGATTTGTTGCATCTATCCATCGGTTGTGCAGTCGACTTAGGTATTCATCTTTGTAGTGTGTGATGACTGATGGGTGTCGGTGTACATATGTGCAAATCGCGTTAGTGTATCGTAAGTGACGGATGGGTGGACGAACGGATTGATGTTCTTCGGATGGTGATGATGTCGGTTTTGCTGGTGGACTAATGAATGGGATGAACGGATGGATGGATGGATGGATGGATGGATTAATTGTTGAATGCGGTGAGTTGTTACAAATGAATGCCGCAGTTCTTGATGAACGGCTTAATTGTGGAAAGGTTGAAGAAGAAATTTGTTAAGAAACATGTAACAGATCTGTTACAACAACACCTATGAACAACATCACACATCCAAAACTTGAATGAACAGGAACCAATTATTCTGTTTTTGATTAGGAAAGAAGGTAATCAAAACTGTTTGTATTCATGGATGTATTTCAATTATCACGATGGGTGATTTAGAAATTGTTACATGACTTCATGAAATGGATACGTGAATGGATGAGTGGCATAATCATAGTGTTCACTTAGAATATAGAAAGTTGATGGGTGTTCAAGTGGACAGACAGATAACAGATTAGGGATCATTTGAGCAGAGAAAGAAAAAAGTACTTCCTTATTCTGCATCTCTCAACAACATCTTCAGTTTTAAATTGAACCAACTCAAATCAAATGATGTTACGAGCGTACTTTTAGTATTTTTGATGAACAGTGATAGCTGATTGGTGCTGCTGCTCGTTTCTGGATAATGCACTTCTACTTACGTCAGTCACACATCTTGTTAGCAATACTCGATAGCTGAACACAAAGGAACACGCATATGTAGGTGCATTCATGTCATGGAATATGTGAATGGTGATGATGATGATGATTCTTGTAACGACGGCAACAGCAAACCAATTCAATTATGACGCTTGTTAACATTTTCTGATTTTCATACCTTTTTGCATCGATAACAAGCCTTCTAGCAATTTTAGCGAGATAGAGTAGAGTTGAATCCGCATTATTGGGTCAATTTTTTGCAGCTTTCTTGTGAGTGAGGTATTTCTATTGTCATTGTATCATCGTTAGAGCATAATGTTCTAATTATTCTTGAAGAAAGTTCCAGTCTCTTAACTCCTGTTATTCCCTCAGTTTGCCTCTATCATATCGTATGGTTCCTGGATTTTGTGTCTATCATGCCCTAAACAAATGCTTCTAATTCAACGACGTGATAATGCCACTAATGGTTCGCTTTTCAGTCGTTGAACTGACCGACTCGGCTTTGCTTTCGACTGAAACCTCGTGACTTGTCGACAAGTAAGACAGGCAAGGAAGTCGTAAGCTTTGTTGACGTGCCGCAAACTAATCAGATTATACAATCGTCCGAATAGGCACTAATTACTCGAAATTCAATTTGTATCATCAAATCATACGCGCAGCTGTGTGCTTCATGAGACATCCATCGCAAAGCATATGCAGATTACCAGGAACGAAAAGCGTTTAGCTGATATCTCATCATATAATCCATATGCTCTTCGTACATATGTAAAGCACATACCGTATCAAGTGATTCTTTTCGAGAATTTTTTAAGAGGGGTGCATTTCTTAATGTCCGCGAAAATTCACCAGACACTTTTTCGGAAAAAATTCCCACCTTAAATCTCAATAATTCGAGAAGCATGCAAGAATTTTTGCGCTCAGCTCAACAGCACATACAATTTGAGGTATCTCTTGATGATTTAATGCGAATTTGATTAACTTTTTCAGGTTTTCAAATAAATTAACTAGCTCCTCAAATCGTAAGAAATACGCCACAGCAGCAACAGCAACAACAACAAATATGACAACAGCAGATACTCATTCAGCATTATGCGACTTTTGCTGTATATCATTAATAGACTAAATGGGACCATTGCAAATGATGGAAGAATACGGAATCGAGTCCGACGGTGAGTCAACCGACTACGCAATCTCGTCTCAATAAGTCAAATGCTGGTATGTTTCTCTTTTTGTCCGTTTGAATTCTAGTTTGACTTCTCAACATCATTTTTTCTCAGTTCAACTCGTAAATCACCCACTATATGCATTCAGAAAAATTTTTTCCCAACTGATATCGTCAAAAGGATTGTTGAATTTTAATTAGTACAAAATTGCTTAGTTGTGTTCATTTGTTGTTTAAAACTACACGTGATACGAATGAAATGACTGGCAATATATTCTGCTCGTATAATATCGCATTCATAGGTATGTTCACTTATCTATCGTATTTCCTTCACTGATTCCCTCGCTTCCACAAATCTCCCTCAGAATAACGCGTATGTTTCTTCACATCTTTCCTTCTGTAAAAAGGTTTTCGCGTAGAAAAGTTTATTTTTCCTTTAAAGTCAACTCGCGCATAAACCCATGATCCCGCACTAAAGTATATCATTAGAACGATTTTTCAGTTTGATATAAAAGACATAATACCAATTCAGTTATCCAATAGCTTCAATTACGTATTCTTGTCCTTTCTCCGCCATAAAAATCTTTTGGGAGCTACATTGCTCGAAATGAAGTTTCTTTTCCTTGAATAGGTCTTCCTTTGAAAAAACTCGCAAAAATCGCATTCTCTGAATTCTCGATGAAAGAATTCCGGTACTCCTGTTCCGTGTATGGTATAGGACGTTGTCCAGTAATTGAGCAACAAATTGTTTCGCTGCCGAAGGCGATAAAACAATTGAA